AAAAAAAAAAAAAAAAAAAAAAAGCTAACTCTAATTGCCCAAGTGGTAAATAGAAATAGGGACATCTGGGCCACAGTATTTGAGAAATGTTCACAGGCACCATAGGACGTGGCTACGGACACCATGGGACAAATGTAGCCAAGAGAGTGACCAGGACAACCTACAGAAGAATGTCTGCATCCTCTTTGGCTTCTGTCTTTGTTTCTTCCTATTTGGCAAAACATGCCTTCCATCTTTGAGTGGTGACAGGCTTTCTAGAGAAGAGATGAAGGATTTTCATGAGGATACCGGAGATCCTCAGCTGGAAACTTTCCAGAAGGCAAAGGATCTGATACCTAAGCCTAAGTGCAGGTAGAGAAGGAGTGTCCTGGGACAGTGACAGTACCTGGCATAGGCAGAGGCCCCCAGGGGTGGCCTGTGACAGGGAGGGTCTTTAGTAACCAGGGGTTGCCCATGTGTGTGTGAGGTCACCCTCTTGGCTACTGCTGCAGGGCCAGCAGGGATCCAGGCCGAAAGGAGGGTCTGACCTGGGCAAAGACAGACACCCACAGAGCTCCATGTGGCAACAGGAAGCGCAGCAGGAGTGAACTGTTCACTCTCAGCGTCATGTGTGGAAACAGGACTGACTTCTTAGAATTTAAGACCTGAAAATTCTTGAACAATTGGCGGGAGGATTATGTAGGAAATGCTACACAAGGAAAATACTGGATGACCTACTAATAAGATAGGTTATTTCAAGTATTCAGTTGGAAAAATAAGTGAGACCTGGTGTGTTAGGTTAGCTGAACTCATATCTTATTGGTTATACACCCATTTATTCATTCACTAATTCACTCATTCATTTAGGCCATTGACAAAAGATTCTCTATCACAAGATATTGAAAGTGTGGTTGGTGCACTGTAGAGACCCCCTGGGTTTCAGAAGAGGAATCACAGAGTCATATATGATGCAGGGGCCAGTCCAACCCAGTCAAGGAGCTCCCCTTCGTGTTATGAAGTCACCACCTCCTCTAGAAGGGTTTCCTGGGACCACAGAGGACATGCACAATTTGGGATAGATGTGTATGTTAATATTTTTCGGGTGGCCGTATCCAAATAGAACATATGCGAAGGGGATACTGTTTATAATTACAAAAGACACAAAGTGGGACACTGTTTGCCCTCAGAGTCCTGGGCAGGAAGGTTTCATCTCAGGTATCACCTCAGAGTCCTGGGCAGGAAGAGGCTCCAGGCTTGCCTTGAGTCTCCACTGACCCCAGGCTCCTTGACCTTGGGCCCCTTTTCTCCTGGGGCAGAGTCCCAGAACAGAGACGGGATACTCCGGTCTTAGGCTTGGAAGGCTGCAGCTCTAAGCCTCTTGCTCGAAGCTGTAATATTGGACACATCCAGGGCTCTGTCTCCAGGATCTGTCTCCTTCCCGTCCCATGGCTCTGCCACCCTTGCACCTCGTGCCTGCCGTGTAGCCACAGCACTGCACAGGCACCTCTGCTCTGCAGAGACGGAAGTCACAGGGGTGAGGTGGCGATGCCCATAGCAGTGGGAGCTTTTTTTTATCAGGCCAGTGACCCCAGCACTGCAGGACTGGCTGGCTCCCTCCGCATTCACCCCATATTCCCAGCCTGTGTTCTTCAAGGTCTCCTTGGCTCTGCCCTTTGAAAGATGGCAATTCTTAACTTTCCTCCATGCAGGAAGAAAACTCTGATCTTACCGAGGGTTCAGTAGAGTCTCCTTTTATCTCTTCCCACACTCTGGGTTTTTTTCATGGGCTCTGATGGCAACTCCATATTATTGCATTGACCAGTCCCATTCCCTCTCACTGTAATCTCATATGGGGCTTCAGGCTCAGGCTAATGTGAGCCCCAGTTCTGTTATCTGTGACATGTAGATGATAGCTTCTACATTAGAGCATTGTTTTAAAGACCGGATATCATTTATACAGAATGCCAAGTGCAGGGTAAGTATTCCATAAATGGCAGGTATTCTAATTATATTTTTCTCCAGGGGAATACTAGCACTTTCTGCAGCAAGTATCTGCTCCATGCATGTTGCACCTTAGAGGGCCAGAAGGAGTGGAACCCTGGATTTTAAGTGATGCAAACTCTAAAGATGGTCCTGTGTACTAGAGCAGAAGACAGAAAAAGCAGGGGAATCACAAAAGCCATTTTTCTGCTGTGTTACAGAGCTTCTCACCAAGACGAAGGACTCTGTGCCAGCCAGTCAGCCAGCCAGCCTCCTATCTGCAGCCTTGATGATCACTGCCTGCATCAGAAGACGCCAGCATATATCCCCAGTCTGCATTGTGTTTGGGAAATAGGACTAAAAATAAAATCTCCTCCCAACCCAGAAAACAGCTCCACAAAGGAAGAAAGAAAATAAAACAGTTTAGTTATTGAGTAAGCATTAAACCAGAACGTGATGTGCATCACAGGCAATCCACTAAGATTGCAGAAGGAAAGAAATCTCAGCCAGTTAGACAGACAAGCAGATATGACTCATTACATACATGTTCTCAAGATCAATAATACCTAGTCTCAACAAATATGA